GGTTGGGTTGGGTTGGGTTGGGTTGGGTATTTGGAGATCTGTGCCTCCAAGAAAGAAAATCAGTGTAGAAACAGTTCCGTTTCTATAACCCTTGCCTTAAACATGTATCTGCAAATAAGCACATGTAAATTTTTGCATTATGAAAATCCTACATATGGATTTAAAGACTATCTTAATGTTGCACTCTGCTTTAACACAGCATGTGACATTTACCTCCCCGAAATGCTCAAGGTGAATATTCCAAAAATTCTTTTCTTATTTAATTATTCGTTTTATTACGGACTAGTCGAACCTTTTCGATTAATCTGAGTGCTTGCTCTTAATAACACGTACGTGTTAAACACTACCTTTTCACAATACAACTTATACATCTGACTTAAAATAGTGAAAAATAAGATATTTCCCAGTACGGAACAGGAAACGAAAATGGGGAATCTTTTATACGAGTTGAACAAAGGTATTTTTCAAGATACTTATATAATTAGAGTGACTCACCTCCATTTCAGTTTCAGGTTCCTGGTGTTGAAAGTCATCAACTTCCATTATTGTTCGTATTACCGAAAACAACTGTACAGTTAAATAATCCGCATAATAATACCGAAGATTTCTCCAACGTGTCTATGTTTACAAACATCCAAGGATTCTTGTGACGTCATGATGACACTGTGCCATTATTTGAGCGATGATTGGTTCTTTCCATCGGAACGCCATTTTCCTAGTTTCTCGGCCAATCAGAATAAAGGATAAATTTCGATGGCAAAAATCAGTAGAATAGAACATATACTTTAAAAATATTTACATAGTCAATACTATCGTATCAGTTGGTTCTTTTGCCCTGTAATTAATATCTGAAAGTTACATTATAAGTACCGAATTTATATAACATATATAGTAGCTGCTTATACTTAGGGAGCTATATATTTAAAGTACTGGAAAGATCAGCTGGGATTGCATCACTCATTCAACCAAAGTTTTGATTGGTCGATGACCTTCCGTTTCTCGCTTGGGAACCTAAACTGTAAAGTAAATGCATTTCTCGCATGGATAGAAATAATGGATTATGTGGATAATATTTCTATCACAACTGAGCTTTTATCAGCCTAGAAGATATCACTCAAACTTTTGATAACAATCACCTCCGCTCTCCCCCTCCCCCCCCTACTGTCTCTCTCTCTCTCTCCTCCCATCTTTCTCTCCTTCTCCCTCCCCTCTCTCTCTCCCTCCCCTCCCCCTCTTTCTCCCTT